TATTTCTTTAAATAAATAAACCTATTAAAAGTGTCATGGTCATTATGATTTACATTCTACAACTAGATGCTGTGTATAACCTCATTGTTAGGATTCATGATTTATATTCACTTAAAAACAAATGAAAGTTTTAAGTTGATTTTATAAAATTTTGCATGAAAATTATGCCCAATGTTTGAAATTGACATTTAGAATTTTTACAGAATTATCATGCTTATTTAAAGTTGAAATTCACTACTCATGAAAGAGAATGAAAAAAAATACTCTGAAGAGATTTACATATAGTGGATACTTTTGCTCTAATATGGTAGGGTAACTAAATAGGCGTCAATTGATTGTTTGAAATCTGATGCCAAGAACTAGTCAAATTGTTTTTAAATGACCACTAAACCTAACCCCAAAACCAAAGAATTGAACAAATTATTCAAATTACAAAATCATCATTTATCAATTACAGTTGACAAATAATATGGTTTCGCTTTCCAATATGACATCCAGTGTTCGAATGTTATTTGCTGCACCGAGTCCTAATATAAATTATAAGCAAAGATATAGTGATTTATTTTTTTTTTCCAAGCGCCCAGCATTATAACTTAGGAAACAGGTCAGTCGGACCTTTATTACCGAAAACCTGAGTCGCATCAGGCGGTGGCAAGATAACTGTCCCTCACAGCTCAAAAGCTTTGTGTGCAGAAAAATTATTCAATATTTCACGTCTTTCAGATGTTTTTCTAGATTTTGATATTTAACATGCAACAAAAACATCAAATTAAAACATCAAATTATAAATTGAAGCAATTTTGAAGAAGTATTAATTCACCTCTACAAATCTGAGATGCATTTATAGTTCTTAGATTATATAAAGTGTCTGGCAAAATCAAAGTGTCGAGGATGTTTTGATTTCGTTAAACTAGAATTTTGAGATTTGTATTAAAAAATTGAGTTATATTTTCTTTAAAGCGATATATTGAAGGGACTAACAGCATTGAATCCTGTTTTTCATAAGTTGTGCATTTTTAATCAATCCGATTTGCAAGTCTCAAGCAAAGTTAAGGGGGTTAAAAATTCGTTTCTCATAATGGCAGTGGTTCTCTGGAGATGTGCAATGTGATACCATGGGCCTAAAAAGAGATACCTCAGAATCTGACACATCTGTTTCCTATCTACATATTTTACTTGAAAAAAAAAACGTTAATGGTAATCTAACAACCGAACTTTATGATAAATGTGATAACTTTAACATTACAATCGTCAACTTCCCTTACTAATACTGCAATATACCTTTATCACCTGCATACGGAGTGTATATATCACAGCTTATTCGATATGCAAGGACATGCTCTATGTATGAGCAATTTCTAATTTCTAAAACGAGGTAAATTATTGACAAACAAATTGATGAAACAAGAGAATCAAGAGTCTCGTTTATTAAAATCATTGTTATCTCTTATCTGTATTTGTATAAAACATTCAGTATAAATGTAATACGCCTCCGTTTACAATGGTTTTCGTGGGGTGAAAATTTTCAAATTTAAACTCAACTACATGTAATATTTCTATAATAGTCTTTAATGACATAAAATGTTCCTTATATCTTCTCTTCTAAATTAAACTCATAAATATTAATAAAGTATAATGTTTTAATTGTAATTCGCTTTTAAATTGATAACAAAATTCTTTTTCGTTTTTTGTCTATAAAATTATACCTCCAATGCCCCATCCTTCACCTGAAACACAATATACATCAGCACGAGTTTGAAAAATGGCAGTCTATTACGGTTGAAAACGCAAGATTTACCAAAATCATGGATTTAACTCTCTTTGCTCTCCTAAATAATTGATTTTTTATGAGAATTCATAAAAATATCGATATAAATATTTAAAATCATTGGTATACGAGGGATATCAAAACGTTCGTGGAGTAGTGTCATAAATTAAAACTGCTTTAGGTACATCAATGAATTTTAAGATATCTCGTTAGCATCATCTTTTCTATCTAAAGAATAAACTATAAATCATGAATTTTATTTTTTATAAATCAGTGATGTTTTGTAAACAATGGTATATCCATTCAGTGCAACCTCGAAAACGACCTGTGTAACTGAGAGAAACTCCTGTGAGATGGTCATTTGACATCCGAAATTTCCGATAATTCAGTTATGTGTTGGGACACAATTGTTCTATAAAATTTGAAATTTTCATTTCATTCTGGAATTTCTATGAAATTTTATCGTAAATTTTACACGGAAAGTCCAAACAAATGAGGCCTTGAAAATGACGTTAAAAGGGGGGGGGGTGGCGTGGTTTCCGTTTTCAACATTCTATAAAGTTTTGCCCCTGAAAAACTGGTATAGACCTAAAACATGTTGAAACTGGCTAGAGAGAAATAATATGCATCCAGAGTACTGTTCTTTTTATGTTGAAATAGATTCAGAGAGAAAGGGTATACACTCATTGAAGGCCACTGTTCATGGCATTGTAAAATCATATAAACAAGGCGGGTTTTATCCTTACTCAGCTCAAGGGAATCTCATCAAAAATGTTCATGAGGTAGAATAAGCGGATTTTGAAAAAAAAAACAATGAAGTTATCGGATGTCATGAAAATAAACGGCGACAGCGCCGGGTGATCATATAATGTCCTTTTCATTTTATAATAATTTGGCAATTAATGAACGTATCAGGCTAAATTTTTCAAAATTTCTTAATTTTTTGTTGTTTTCTGTTCTATATAAATTTAGAAAGCACAGTCTATAAAGTACTAATTTTATAGCCTTAGTCCACGAACTTTTTGATAACCCATTGTATGTTAACTTTTAAAAATTTCCCTAGAGGTAGGCGGGAGAACATTCACAGTTCTTTTCCATATCTATACTTATAAATTAATAAATTTTGCAAATAAACTCCGAAACGGGTGTACAAGAGTTCTTACTTACCCTCTAATACTACACTACATACAAAATGATGTCCATAAACTATATTCAGATTTCACTCGGATAGTAAGTATCGTTCATAAAATTACTACTTCAATTTTCTGAAAATAGCCATGAAAGAGCACAACGTGAGAATTGTGGCATTTCCGGTTGGCGGATCTTAGCTACTGTCAAATTTTAATGAAACTGACAACAAACAATCTTTTATTTATTTCATAAAATGTCATCACTGAATTAATCAATCAAAACTTGATTTAATAAATCTTGGTAACCAATTAAAAAGCGAAAAGTGTAAATTATTTTCGTCAATCACCGATCTCAATATTGACGGACGCTTCTAGAACGTCGAGTCCCTTTTGCTATATTGTTTTAATCAAGAACTAATTATAAATATTGTATTTAACGGGTTAATTGATTAAATAGTTTTACAACAAATTATGTTATTTAATTAGAATACAATAAAACAATAGTTTTTAAAACAAGCAAAATATGCTTGGAATTTATCAGAAACATATTGTTGCAGGGAAAAACACTAAAATTTATTGATAAAAGGATTACATAAGTAGACAATTGGTACATGGCAGTTAATCGTTAGCTAGTATGTGTATCCAATTTAAATTCATGACAAGGCGACAGATAGGTATCATAAGTTGAGGACGAGTAAATGAAAAATCAAAATACATCGAAAGACTAAAATAGATATGCAGTGTACATATATCTTATTCTGTTGAGTTAATCGATAAAAACTGTATTTTCCGTACTGAGATCATCGTGGCTACGAACCCGACGTACAGTTTGTAATCAACTTAATTGCGTTCAATAAGATAGAAAACTTACGAATAAGGTATTGTTCAAATACAATTTATTATAGCTATTAATTTTTTGTGTGCTTCATAAAGACATTTCAGCTTTTTCCTCTCTAAAAAAGTCTTCCTCCTATACCAATTTCATTCAGAACCTAATTCTAGGTATTCGACACTACATTTCCCTGATATGAATTTCTTGTAGTATTAAGGGGGGGCGCAACCTGCCTTTCACTGAACATTTCCGATAGTAAAAGTATTGCTGGGGAAAAAAAGGGGGCAGCCTTTTTAGGTATCGATAACGGTACAGATATCATTATAAACCATGACTAAAGTACCTGCGAATTTTTACCCTTCCCCCAATTGCCCAAAATTAATTTATTTGTATATAATGTATATTCGTTGCTTTTATCCTTCATGAAAATGAAATAAGAACATTTTAAGTGCCATATCCATAACATTGTATGAATTTTTGAAGACATAAACGTCAATTAAAGTATTTTTTTTATTTTTAAAGTTTTCACAAATAGTGGGTGGGAATGGTGACGTACATATATCTTTCATGCGGACTATTGATCAAAGTTTTTCTCTCTCTGTAAGTCTGTAGTCTGTCAGTAAAATCTACAACTTCTAACTACAATATATAATTTTCTGTTGTAAATGGTAAAGTTCTATGTATAAATTCAATTTCCCGCGCATATAGTTCATATATAAAGGCAAAATATGACATACAATCAATTGTAATATTCAGACGATACTCAAAATTAAACATAAAAAGATGTATAAGCTGCACATTCAATCGTTCAAAGAAACAATTTAATCAACTTATATGCAAAATCAACAAATTTTTCCATTCCTTTGATGAAAATTTCATCATTTCACAAAGAAATAAATTGCGACACAACAATGAAATAAAACATATAATAAGACGATGAATTGATAAGAAATAAACTAGATAACTAAATCCCTATCATGCTTATATCACTTCAAATACTAACGAAATAAAATTATAAAGGAAGTTATACACTCTTCACATTCTTATAAATGAAGTTTTCGAATATACAACGATAATTTAGCTCTAAATGATTTTAACATATCATTTGAACTATAAATGTCAATTCGGTTTATTTTAACTATCTTATTTACATAAACAAATAAAATCTTAGTTAATAGCATTCAAAAACTGTACGGCATAATAAATGAAAGACTATTTGCAAGAATATGATTATCACACATAATTTTGAAATCATTGGTTACAAGACACCTTTTTTTAAGCGGGAGCACTTTATTTTCATAACATTTTTCAAGTCTCCTATGGTTTTGAATTCTCTTAAAAAGCATAATGATGACAGATTTGGTACTGAATCATTTGAAGAACCTGCGTACATTTTACAATTTGAATCCCATATTTGTATAAAAAAGATCTTTGTTGGACGTAAAACAAAGTAATATATTAAAAGGTAAAGATAATAAATGTTGATCTATCTAAAAATGAAACTATGTAAAAAAAATCTAATAAGACTCTTTGGATCTAAATTAATACACTGAGCATTAAAAATTTTCCAGAATTTCTAGAGTGTAAAAATAAAGATACATACAAATTGTCAATATTTCAAACTTCTCATCTAGCCAGACATCTCGTCTAACCGTTGAAGATTTCAGATATTTTTGTTTGTGAAATGTTCTCAATTTTTTTTTTGTATAAAGGATTTGATCAGTGTTCACTATCTTCGTCTATTTCAAAATATATTAATTTCTTCTTTTTCCTGCATGAATACAAGGGGTAAATCACATTTTAATGTAAGTGTTATCAATTTTAACCCTTTTTATTTTATGAAAGAGTTTCTTCATTAAATTTTCTCAGCATTTCTTTCGTGAAAATACATAATTGCTGAAGAATTAAGAAGGTTCCTAAAAGCGGCGTTCTCCGAAAATATGAATTAGGTCTATGTCACCTTGTTCAGCGGCAGTATCTATCACTGATTTACCTTGATTATCTTTTACTGCTAACAATTCTAAGTGATTTGTTGATAAAAACCTACAAACATCATGTTTACCATTTAGACCAGCAATATGCAATATACTTTCACCAACATTTGACAAAACATTGATTTCCAATCCTTTTTTCAATAGAAAAGAAACTATATCTAAACTTCCACCACTGCAAGCTGAATGTAACACTGTCCATCCTCTATTGTCCCTGATCTTTATTAACTCAGAAAACTGATTGACCAGATACTCACACATCTCTATTTTACCAGAGCGACAACATTGATGTAAAATTGTTTCACCGTCTTCCTGTCGGGAAAAGATGTTCATTTTTTTCTCAATTAATAATTCTACTATTTGAACATTGCCTCCCCGTGCTGCATCATGCAACACTGAGTTACTAGAATTGTCCCTAATATTTAATAGATGGGGATGATTCTTCACTAAGTACCCACAAATTTCAAATTTCCCTTTGAGACAAGCTCTATGAAGAATACTTTGACCATCATTTGACAAAGCATTGGTATCTAATCCTTTATCAAGTAGAAAAGACACAATTTCTACACTTCCTCCACTGCAAGCTGAATGTAACACTGTCCACCCCTCAGTGTCCTTTATCTCCAAAAATTCTGGAAAATGATTGACCAAATATTCACACATCTCCATTTTACCAGATCGACAGCACTGATGTAAAATTGTTTCACCACCTCGCTGTAGGGCATTGATGTCCATCTTTTTCTCAATCAATAGTTTTACTATTTGAACATTGCCTCCCCAGGCTGCATCATGCAACACTGTATTTCTATATTTGTCCTTGACATCTAACAGATGGGGATAATTCACAACTAAGTACTCACAAATTTCAAACTTCCCATTGATACAGGCTCTATGTAGGATACTCTTACTATCATTTGACATGGCATTAAAATCCATTCCTTTTTTTATAAGAAAAGAAACAATTTCAACACATCCACCATAGCAAGCTGAATGTAACACTGTCCATCCGTCATTGTCCCTTATCTCCAATAAATCTGGAAAATGATTGACCAAATACTCACACATCTCCATTTTACCAGAACGACAGCATTGATGTAAAATTGTTTCACCATCTCCCTGTAGGGCATTGATGTCCATCTTTTTCTCAATCAATAGTTTTACTATTTGAACATTCCCTCCCCAGGCCGCATCATGCAACACTGTGTTACTGGATTTGTCTCTGAGGTCTAATAGGTTGGGATAATTCTCAACTAAGTACTCACAAACTTCAAATTTCCCATTGAAACCAGCTAAATGCAGGATACTTCTACCATTATTTGACAAGATATTAATGTCCATTCCTTTTTCTATAAGAAAAGAAACAATTTCAACACTTCCTACCTTACAAGCTGAATGTAACGCTGTCCACCCGTCATTGTCTCTTATCTCCAATAAATCTGGAAAATGATTGACCAAATATTCACACATCTCCATTTTACCAGAACGACAGCATTGATGTAAAATTGTTTCACCATCTCCCTGTAGGGCATTGATGTCCATCTTTTTCTCAATCAACAGTTTTACTATTTGAACATTGCCTCCCCAGGCTGCATCATGCAACACTGTCTCACTAAATTTGTCCTTGACGTCTAACAGATGGGGATAATTCTCAACTAAGTACTCACAAACTTCAAATTTCCCATTGAGACAAGCTATATGCAGGATACTTCTACCATTATTTGACAAGATATTAATGTCCATCCCTTTTTCTATGAGAAAAAAAACAATTTCAACACTCCCTCCCCTGCAAGCTGATTGTAACGCTGTCCATCCGTCATTGTCCCTTATCTCCAATAAATCTGGAATATGATTGACCAAATATTCACACATCTCCATTTTACCAGAACGAGAGCATTGATGTAAAATTGTTTCACCGTCTCCCTGTACAGAATAGATGTCCATCTTTTTCTCAATCAATAGTTTTACTATTTGAACATTGCCTCCCCAGGCTGCATCATGCAACACTGTCTCACTAGATTTGTCTTTGACATCTAATAGATGGGGATAATTCTCAACTAAGTACTCACAAATTTCAAACTTCCCATTGATACAGGCTCTATGTAGGATACTCTTAGTATCATTTGACATGGCATTAAAATCCATCCCTTTTTCTATAAGAAAAGAAACAATTTCAACACTTCCACCATAGCAAGCTGAATGTAACACTGTCCATCCGTCATTGTCCCTTATCTCCAATAAATCTGGAAAATGATTGACCAAATACTCACACATCTCCATTTTACCAGAACGACAACACTGATGTAAAATTGTTTCACCACCTCCCTGTACCGCATTGATGTCCATCTTTTTCTCAATCAATAGTTTTACTATTTGAACATTGCCTTCCCGGGCTGCATCATGCAACACTGTCTCACTAGATTTGTCATTGACGTCTAACAGATGGGGATAATTCTCAACTAAGTATTCACAAACTTCAAACTTCCCATTGAGACATGCTATATGCAAGATAGTTTTACCATCTTTCGACAAGGCATTGAAATCCATCCCTTTTTCTATAAGAAAAGAAATAATTTCAACACTTCCTCCATTACAAGCTGAATGTAACACTGTCCATCCTCTATTGTCCCTGATTGCCAATAAATCCGAGAAATGTTTGACCAAATACTCACACATCTCCATTTTGCCTGAACGACAGCACAGATGTAAAATTGTTTCACCATCTCCCTGTAGGGCATTGATGTCCATCTTTTTCTCAATCAACGGTTTTACTATTTGAACATTGCCTCCCCAGGCTGCGTCATGCAAAACTGTCTTACTAAATTTGTCTTTGACGTCTAACAGATGGGGATAATTCTCAACTAAGTACTTAAAAAGATCTATGTTGCCACCTAGGGCTGTGTAATGGAGAATATTTTTACCATCATTGTCACAGACATCCAGTAATTGAGGGTATCTGTTTAATAAATATTCAAACATATCATAATGCCCATTTTTGCATGCAGCGTGCAGGATAGATTGACCTGAATTATCTGTTTTATATCCCTTTGGTTTATTGTCACTTGGTACATGTAATATATTTTCATTCTCAAAGAGGTTAAGCATATATTCAAACATATCTATATTCCCACTGAAAGCTGCCCAATGCAGAAGACTTTTTCCACGAACATCTGTGTGTTCCTGGAGTAATGCAGGATATGTTTCAATAAGATATTTTACCATGTCTGTCCTTCCATCCTGACAAGCACAAGTAAGAACAGTGTGACCATTGTCTCGATCTTTTTCATAAGGATCAAAGCCAAACTTTAACAAAAGATTAAATGCATGTTTGTCCCCAGAACTTGCTGCACCTTGTAATGCATTAGAGCCCTGGCTGTCCTTAATATCTACAAGGAATGAAAATTTTTCTAGAACGTGTTCAATTAATTGTGTGTGTTGCATAAAACAGATTTCCTGAAGTAAGCTATGTCTTAAACAACTCCAGACAGGATGTAAGGAATGAGAAATTTGATGAACATCAACAAGCTCACAAATTCGGAGCAATAACTCTATATTACCACTCTGTACAGCATAAAAACATGTTTGAAGATCACATTCCACATCTGTTGACAAAATGAGATTAACAATGTCGGGTTGATTTTTAGAGCAAGCGGCGTTAAGTGATCTGTATCTTTGTCTTTTTTTTGAATTCGGAAGTAAATATTCAACCCATCGCTTATTTCCCACCTTCGAAAAATGCACAAACATTGAATCACCGTTGGTATCACGGCATGTTTTAAACTTCGATGTGCAATCCTCAGATTGTAATACGTGCTCATGGAAGTTTGAATCATTCCATAAATCCAGTGATGATATTGAGGAATATCCTATCACAGACCTTTTTCCAATTATATTTGCAACGCGGCGGACAACATATTTAAACAAGCTTTGTTCTATGTAGACTTGTGTACTTTTGGGGTTTTTACATGTCGTCAATGTAAGAAGTAAGGACGGATAACACATTTGGATAATTTTTTCAGAATCAAAATTAAACAAGACACTGAAAAGGGATTCCTGAACTGAACTATGGGAAAATCTGTAGGTGTTTTCTATCGTGTCATGTATAATTAAAAATCCCTCAAAACAAAAAATACTGTCCTGGAAATCGTTAACATACGAGTTTTGTAGACCTACAAATTCTAAAGAAGCGTGCTTCATCTCTAAATCCAGTCGGGGATTGTCAATTAATTCAAAATCTACTTTTCCTCCACTCAGGAGAACATATGCTAAAACAGCAGTTTTTACAGTTTGTTTTTTCATTAATGTTTTGAAGTAGTCGCTCATAAACATCATTGCATTTTTTACAAATACAAATACGTTTTGTTTAAAAGCTTCATTACTTCTTGCTAACTTACAACATTGTGGAAATCCTATAGTTAGTGGCATTTCATATACCTTATGAATAAGTTCTTTGTCTTCTATGTATTCAGAAAGCTCATATTTTTCTGAAAACTGTAATATTTCTTCTTTTATCAATGCATTTTCCTTGCTTGACAGGTCAACCAAGGACGACATCAAAAAATTGTCATCGCGCTGGTTCTGTACACATTCTTGATATATATCATTTCTAAGTGTAAAAATAAATTTGTTTGATTCATTATCTATGTCACTTTCAATTAAAACCTTTATCATATCTTTTCTAGCTTTAAATTCTTGAATCTCATCGCTGGATAAAGAAAACTCTCCAAATAAATTGTCGATAAATACCACTATACCATCACCCGGTGATATGTTACCGTACAAGTCTTTGAACTTGTAAAGCTGAAGAGGAGATTCCCCCTCATCCATCAATTCTTTCATCAACATCTTGGCATTTGTGGTTTTTCCAGTCCCGGGGTTTCCCTTGATGACGACATAACCGTTATTGTCCAACAGTTCCTTGGCTCTCTCAAACGCATGAGTTTTTACAAATAGATGACCAACAGCTTCATAATGTTTTTGTATCATTTTCTTAGTTGTTTCTGAAAAGAAATGATAGTTATCTTTAAGGAACATGGACTTAATGTCTCTAAGATTCCAGAATTTATCTATTTATTAATTAACGGTGATATGCTCAATGGTATGTGCAAAATTGTATTGTTGCTTAAAGTCAAGAGTGTTTTAGCTTCAAAGATAATTAATCAATTTAGACTACAGGAATTATATTGTATACAAGAGGCCCATGGGCCACATCGCTCACCTGGGTACTGTGCCTAGGACAAAAACGATTTAGTAAATGCCTAAGTGGTCCCGATCCTAAAAAGGGGGTTGATTTGAGCAAACTATGCAAACTTGAATGCATACTAACTAAAACGCTTACATATTTGTTTGACGAACTGTGACTTTTCCCTATAAGTTTGAACTTTTATTGTGGTCCCACCCAACCGGGGGTAAGAATGCGTGGGTCATGATTGTAACAAATCTGCATCTAAACTACCCGAGGATGCTTCCATATAAACAAAACCAATCATCTTTTTTGTTCTTGAGAATATTTTTTCATATTTAGAATACTCCTATGTAAAATTGTGATTGTCCATACTGGCCGCACCCCACCCCCGGGAGTCATGATTTAAACAATCTTGAATCTTCACTATAACATGGATGCGTCCATATAAATATGACGAATTATGTCTTTGCTGTTCTCAAGAAAAAGGTTTTTTAAAGATTTTTTTTTTGCTTTATATATCTATGTAAAACTTTGATTGGTCATTGTGGCCCGCCCTAGCCCCAAGGACATAATTTGAACAATTCATGAATCTACACCACCTGAGTATGCTTTTTTTTTTAAAAAAAATTCCTTTACAAATCTGTGATCGTCCATTGTGGCCCCACTTAACCCCTAAAGGTCATGATTTAAATAAACTTGAACTTATACTACCTGAGTTTCATCTTTCCTGACAGAGTGGTTCTTGTGAGGAAGATTTTTGAGAATTTCATTTTTTAAAGAAATTCTTAATTGTCTCACCCTGTAATTGGGCATGGTACTTCATTTGAACAAATTTGAATCCCCTTCACCTGTTGAAATTGTGAAAAGCTTACAGACGGACAGACAGGAAGACGCTGGACAAAATGTGATCACTTGCTGGTGTTAAAATCATCTAATAATAAATTTCACAGAACTGACACAAATGATTAATGATATATAAATCAACGAATTCATGAAGAAAATTAAAAAAGGAAATACATCCTCCGCATTTTTCAATAAGTATGTTAATGAAAGGAACACGGATATTAATTTCTTTCATTATGCCATTAAGGCTCTAATGGCGTACTGGATCTTATCTAGGCCTTTAAGACCAGGAATTTTTCCATAAAATAAACAAACATGCATTATTAACATACTAAATTTTGTTGTCTTTTGTTACCAGTAGGCATCCTTGAATATCTAAATATGAAATATCAAGCTATTTATTTGATATCTATTTTATCTTAATATTATCGTACCGATCCTTCTTGCAAGTCTTGGATCTACAAAAAAATAATAAATCTGTAAAAGAAGTTATATTTCATGATATATTCATCAGAAAATTTATAATGGACTGAAGTCAGCGAGTTTGTTTATTTAAAGAATGTATTGCGAAACAGGAATGTATAAACTCTTTCTAAGAACCTGAGCATAGTTGTCGCATTTTGCTATTTCATGAAATCCCACATATCGTGCATTACTGATGTGCTTTGTAGTATCAGTAATACTTTTCATTGTGGCAAACTGGATTTCCTATTTTGATCATCTCATTTATACGATCATCATGACATGCAACTTATATGAGATATTTACCGTGAAGCGCCAATTCTCTTCGCATCATCAGCATATTACCTACGAAATAGGAATAGATACAATAAATTAAAAGTTAGATATTTTTTTTTTTAATTTTTATATTTCAACATCTGATAATTATCAATCTGATGAAATGTTTATTAAGTATTATGATAAGTAATGTCTAAAATCTTGAATGCTTTGCCATTCCTGTCTAAATTCATCAAAATATTCCCAGTAAAGAATCATTAAGCCATAAATAACAGGAAGGATTATAATTACTTACTCGATAAATAATCCACAGTTGTATGAAGTTCTCTGATATCTCCAAGTAAATCTAAGTATTTCTTCTCTTGTTCTGGGTCCATGGAGCAGGTTTTTATCTCGTTGACTGCATCCTGGTATATCGTGGTTGTTCCTAGGTGTCGCTCTAGCTCCATTACAATGTCCCGGATGTTCCGCCATTCCTGTCTAAATTCTGAATCGGACAGGGACAAATCAGCTGAATGTCCGTAATACTGGTTTCTAATGAGGCGAATTCTTTCAATGTTGGCTGCCACGCTTCTGTCTCCGGGATTCGGAATCTCTCCCCAACCTTTGGAATGTGATGATATTTTACTTACATTGCGTAGAAGTAAATACAAAAAAGATATGTCTAAGTCTGAGTAATCACTACTGTATTGTTTCGTGTGTTTGGGGAAAATTATCTCTGATTGTGTTTTGTTGAGTGGATTTCTTTGTCCATGTGAAAGTTTATCTGTAAATTCTTTAACCTTTCTGGACAAATCAGATGGCTTCACTTCTGTCTTTAGAATATCACGTAACACATCAGTACATGGACCCAGTATAAGTCTCGCCAGTCGAGCAGTGTTTGTTGTTTCTTGTGTAGAGGCGTAGCACTTGGATAAAGACATGATCTGACTGGATTCACTACGTATAATAGTTGAAGTGTCAGGGCTCTATCTTCGCCATTAAATGAATACAACCTTTAATTTAAAAAAAAATATTTTCAATTACACTTTTTTATCACATCCTTATTTTCAAAACATTTTTTTTTAAATTTTGTCTGATTAGATTTATAACAGATGGATAATAACTCAACTATTTTGTTACTAAATAAACTCAATTTGGTTCGAACAAATTTACTCAGCAAAGTATTTGCAATAGTATATAAGGTTTCAAAAATTGAGAATCAACATTTTCATATGTGATAAGTGCCTGTTATGCAATTAGATAATAATATTAATAATAATAATAATAATAATAATAATAATAATAATAATAATAATAATGATACTTTATTTAAAGAGGGTGACACGATTAGTGCAAAAAAATATAATAAATATGTATACATTTTCAAATAAACACAATCAAGAAATAATCATAAATTATTTTGACATTTTTTATACTACATTTTTTGACTGGATAGTTGAAGGCATTCAGTGTTTGAGATTTTTTATATATATAAAAAAAATCAAAGTACTGAGACAGTACTGAAAGACGGGGTCAAAATAATTTTCATGCTAGATTTCACAAATTTGAGGGTTTTTTTTTTAACGATTTTTGAAAATTTTTAGAATCAACATACTAAAAAAATAATACAAATTCGCGTTTTTCATTTAATTTGATGTACAAATTTCAATAATTGCTAAGTCTAGAAACCTTTTTGAACCGTCCGAATTTCACGTAATCCAAATTAATATTTTTCCGGAAGTAAACAATGGATGATGCATACGAAGTCGTAATACTACGCAGGAGAGTAATTTGTGTACTAGTGTGTATTATAATTAATATTTTGAGCTTGCATTTACAAAATGCTACATAAACTTGATTTAGAAAAAAGTTCATATCACTTTCTTCAGTTTGATACAGAATTTTCATATTTCTATCGAAACAATTTCTGCAATCTTTGATATATCACGTGACCCCGTCTAATAAACAATTTCTAAAGACAGCACCAGAGGATTTGATGGGTTTATATTTATAAAATGGTACACACAGGTCTAAGCTATATTCAGATCGAAGACGGTATCTATTATTACAATGGAAATCAAACATGCTATTTAGATAAGTATGGTAAGAGTGCAACATTTCAAAAAATATGGAATGCAGAGGAAAAACTTAAATTTTTTATGATTAATTCGTACAGGAAATTTTAAGTACTTCCCGTTAAAAAAAAATATTTTGTATTAAATCAGAACGTAGAAAAAAGTACCTAGTGAGAAAAAATAGATGACAGCTTAACAAAAATGTATGATACTTCTTAATTACTTAAGCTTTGGTATAATGAATCAACGACTTAAATAACACGAATATACATGAAAAATATGCGTTGTATTCGAATAATGGTTGCGGCAGACCAAAGTCAATAAAGAAAGATTATGTAGCAAATTATGGTCCGTTAGGCCTCCAGCACTTACGCCAGACGATGGGCCAGATATGAAAAAGAAGACATTGACACCTTGTCAGAATGGATTAAATGTATCAGATCCATGTTAAAGTCACGTATTAAAAGATTGAGGGGCAAAATGAAAACCATCTATCCTTCTGTGTTCAATAAACCAGAAGTGAAAAAAGAATTAGATAGATGACACGATCAATACGTATTGGTTCCTGCCGACAAAGCAGGTAACAACATTGTCTTCGTTTGTAAGGCTCATTATATAAATTGCATTCTAGAAGAACTTGGGTTTAATTCTACAAGTGGTAATCCTACTTATACATATAGTTCTCTTTCTAAGGAAGAAATTCTTCAAAATCACCTGTCAGTTTTGAATACTTTTAATATTCCACAGAGCCAAAATGAATTTGAACTACCTTATATATATTGGATTCCGAAACTTCATAAGAATCCTTACAAACAAAGATACATTGCGGGTTCCAGTAAATGTTCAACCAAGCCTCTTTCTAGTGCTGTGCGATATTACCGGTTAACCGGTGTATCCCGATTTCGTTCTTCACAATACGTATCGCGGTATTTTTTTGTAAATACCGGTTCGGGTTCGATATGCTATTAATTGTTACAAAAAGAGTTATTTGCCCTTTCCAATGTAAAATATGGCGGCAAGCAACGTGAAGTTTGATCGGAAACCAGAGACATGTCTGTCAGAGACGAAAAGACGACAACTGTTACATGAAAGCCCTTCATGTTAAAGCAGAATCTGAATATTTCAACTTGATTCTTAAAGTTTTGCCACAAAAAAACTTGCAATATCAACTCGAGAATACATGTAATTTCAGTTTGTGTTTTCATTTAACATTGATGAAAATCAAAATTTATTAAAAAAATTATATTGTGATATATTGCAATACAAAATATAATATTGCAATATATCGCGATACGATTTTTCAGCCGCGATACCCAGCTCTACCTCTTTCGTTACTTCTCACTAAAATATTGACAGTAGTGAAGGAAAAACTTCAAGAGTACTGTACAACTATATGTTCAAGAAGTGGTGTAAATCAGATGTGGATACTTAAAAATTCTAAAGAACTTTTGGACAATTTGAAATCACAAGACTTTACAAAAATCAACAGCATAAAAACTTACGACTTTTCAACTTTATACACAACAATTCCCCACGACAAATTAAAATCCAGGCTTTTTGATATCATTGACAGCTGCTTCTTCAACAAAAATGGAACTCGTAAGTTTACTTACCTCGTCATTGGTCATTTGAAGAATTATTTTGTTAAAACAGATTCTGATTGCACACATAAGTACTCTGAAGTTGACATCAAGAAGATGCTTGAGTTTCTGATTGACAATATCTATGTGGTTTTTGGAGACCAGGTATTCCAACAATCTATTGGAATTCCCAGGGTACCAATTGCGCTCCGTTATTAGCAGACTTATTTTTATATTCATATGAAGCAGAATTTATGCAAAATCTTTTGCGTGAGAAGAAGAAAACACTTGCTGTGGCCTTCAACTCGACATTTAGATATATCGACGACGTATTGTCAATTAATAATGATAATTTCCATTCCTACGTCGACACGATTTATCGTGGTGAGCTTGAGATAAAAGATACCACAGAGTCCGACACTTCTGCTTCATACTTGAATATTTTACTTGAAAAAGACACTAATGGTAATCTAACAACCAGGCTATATGATAAACGTGATGACTTTAACTTTTCTATCGTCAACTTCCCTTACTTAGCATTCCTATCAACTCTAAACACATATATTTCTTCGTTCTCTGCGCAAGATAGTACAATCATAGTAGGAGGTGATTTCAATTGCAATTTTGATAAAGAAAATGACAAATCCAATAAAAAATTAAGTAAACTGGTAAATAAATTCGACTTAGTCGACGTATGGATTAATAAGAATCCTAATAATAACGGTTACACTTGGTGTGATGCAGAAAATTGTCCAAAGAGTAGGATTGATTATATTTTTGTAAGTAAAGACTTTATAAAAAATGTAAAAAATATCATTGTCAGAAGAATTCCTGGTACTCATAATAATAACACTCGATTAAGTGACCACAGATATCTTAAATGTACTTTAAATCTGAATAAATTAGATAGAGGTGCAGGTTACTGGAAATTGAATGTATCTCACCTTGAGAATGATGATTACAAACAAGGTATAGAGGAATTATATAACAACATTGATGAAACGCTAGATCCAATTTTAAAATGGGAAACTTTTAAAATAAGTGTACGTGATTACTCTATTAAATACGCGAAACAATCCAAACATAATATAAAATATAAAATAAAACTACTTGAGGAAAAAATCGATAAAATTGAATCTTTGCCTAGTCTAGAAATTAATATGAATGAAAAGCGAAAACTAGAAAAAGAACTAGATGCAATGTATGATAAAATTGCTAAAGGAGCTCAAATAAGATCAAAAGCGCAATGGATAAGTGAGGGAGAGCGAAATACCAGTTTCTTTCTAGGTCTAGAAAAGAAACATCAAACGAATAATACAATAACTGAATTAAAAAAGAATAATAAAACCTTTGCAAGTAATAGTGAAATTTTACAAGAAATGTGTCTTTTTTACGAAAACTTATATACAAGCAAATCTGTTGATGG